GGCGGGGAGCGCGAGGGCGGCGCGGGGCCGGAGCCGCGCCCGGCCGGGCTCAAAGTTTCTTGCCGGAGTCCCCGGCCACCCCCGGAGCGCCAAGTAACGGTCCGCGCGGCGGACCCCAGGGAAGGACGCGGGCAGTGGGGTCCTGGCGGCGGCGCGGGCCCGGCTGAGCTGCGGAGTCGCGGGCGCTGCGGGACTTTTCCGGGCGCTTTTGGGGTCGGGAGGCGCCCGCTTCCCGGCTGAGACGGGAAGGCGACGGGGTGCAAGGGATCGCGAGCGGAGGTGGCAGATGGAAGGGAGGGTGACAGTTTAGGACCTCGTCGGAGAGAGGCCGAGAGGGACGAGGTGGGGGGGCGGAGGCAGCGGGGAGGAGGGCGCGGGACCGAGACCCCCTAGGTATCCCCACAGACAAAATCGTGGGAATGAAAGAGAAAAGTGATTGGCAAGTGCGCGGAAGGCGCCTGGGGGGGAGGGGAGAGGACTGAGGACGGAGAGGGTTCTGGGGCGCTGACGGAGGATACCGAGTTGCAAAGGAAAAAAAGAACCCTCAAAACAAACACGCGAGCCAGCGCCAGCCCAGAGTCGGAAAGGAAACTTCTCGCTCCCTTCCTCTCAGCCCGAGCCCCGGGCTGGGCTGCCTAGATGCTCGCGAGTGGGGCGCAGGGTCGCTGCGCCCGCCCGCCGGCCGGAACGCCCGGGCCCACTTGGAGCAACTTTCTGCGAGCGAGCGAGCGGGGAGCGCGGTGCGCCCGGCCGGGCTGGGGGCGCTGAGAGGGGGCGGCTGGGGGCGCAGTGTGGGTGCGGAGGGAAAAAACACAAAAGACCAGAGAATTTTGATTAGAGACAAATGATGCGCTCTCCTCTCTCTCTCTCTCTCTCTCTCTCTCTCTCTCTCTCTCTCTCTCTCTCCCTCCCTCTCTCTCTCTGTCTCTCTCTCTGTCTCTCTCTCTCCCCCTCCCTCCCTCTTCTCTCTCTCTCTCTCTCTCTCTCTCTCTCTCTCTCTCTGGTGTGTGTGTGTGTGTGTGTGTGTGTGTGTGTGTGTGTGTCTTTTGCTTGTTGTGGTGGAGGTGTCGAACCATATGGGGGAGTGATAGAGGAATTTTAGTCAGAAACTGTTCGTTATGTTATCCTGCCTTTCCTCTTTGTGCTGTCTTTGATCTATTTGCTTGGCTTAGTATTACAAAAAAACAAGTACATTAATATATTCCGAGCTGCTTCCCCAAGATTCAGATCAGGCTGCCTCTTTTCAAGTCTCTCTCTCTCTCTCTCTCTCTCTCTCTCTCTCTCTCTCTCTCTCTCTTAATTTAATTTTTCTTCACTCTGGTGCCTGGTATTATTTAAGGTGGTCCTTACACAGGAGACCTCCCCTTCTCCATCTCTGGCTAATTTAGTAGACACTAAAATTACACCTAATGTTCCCCTCTCCTCTCTTGTGTTTCTCCTGTTCCTTTTATTAAATGTTGGTTATTGATTTTCTAAAATCAATGTCTGTTGTGGGGCTTTTTTCCCCCACTACAAGTATCTAAAGCACGTTGCTGATCAACTGGATAACAAAAGCTTTGTGTCAAGGAGGCTTTTTTTCTTATGTTAAACAGTCATTTTTTTTTAAGAGCAAGAATGAGATTTAAAGCACAGTCACCAGAAGTATTCTTTTGCAGAGAAGATACAGAGAAGACTATTTAGAGTGTTCCTTCTCGCCTTCCTCCTTCCACTCCCTGTAGGATTTTGCCACTGATGACCAGCCCGGTCCCAGCATTGAGGTCAGGTCAAAGCCCAGTTCGGGGAAAGAGAGAGATCCCAGCTTCCTGGGGACCCTCTGGGTCTAGCAGTGAAGGAGACCTCTTGGGGGCTTCGCAGGTGGAACGCAGTGCCAGGGAGCTGTGCACTCATGGACACTGCACCCGTTTCTCCACCACCCGCCACTAATCTGGGAGAAGCCTCCACACTCCGCAATGGAAAGTTGAATTACGTGTTTTAAGGAATTCAGCCCAGACCTACACATTTAACATCAAGTCTGTCTGTTGGTTACAGCTTTTCTAACTTGACTGTTACCTGTCTCTTTTTCCAAATAATCCGGGAGAAAACATGCTGTAAATTGGATACTTGTCAGTATTTTCATTGGGTTTAAAGTGACTGAGCAATGTCCTGGTTTTGAGTAGCAGGTAGAAGAGATGCCCCTGCCCCCAGCCCCAAGCTTTTTCATTTTCTTTCTCATCAAACACGTGTCCAGTGTCTTTTCCTTTGGGAATTGCCAGGATTTATCTGAACTGAGTGGATTTTTCTTCTTTCCTGGATTCATGGAAAGGATGTCACTTTTGAGCTTGTGTCTTTGCTGATAAGACTAAATATGATGATGCTTATCAACATCATATAGAAATTCCTGGAAAGGGATAATGGCAATAAGAACCATAGAAGTAGAAGGTAAAAGGGGGGGGAGAAGATGGTCATCCAAGAATCTAGAATGACACTTTATATAATTTTAATGAAGTCAACAGTGTATATATAGAGTAAGGCGACAAGGAGCGAAACATAAAGCACTGCATATGTGTTTGAAAAGCTCATTGAAATCGTGCATTAGAAAACCACCCTGTGTACAGTTATTAAAAAGCAAAGGAGAAAGACACAGTTTGAAGAAAATAAATGTACAGAGAAACAAGAATCTAAATTCCAAGCTTCCAGATTCCTAGACTAGCAAGATGCCTGGCAAAGACTGTACTAGGGCTAAGCTAACCCAGACGGGCACACAGTCTCCTTTCCCCCACATGAAAAGGAGGAAATCTCTTCCAAGAAAATAAGATGTGCAGGCAGAAAGAGGGAGTGGGGTGGGGGCAAAGGAGGCAAAAAGCAAATTGCTCTAAGACTAGAATGTGTGTCCGGTTCAAGAAAGTTCGGTCAGATGATCTTCAGTTGCCTGACTCACTTTGTAACACTTTCTCTAAAGCTGGGATGGAGAGGGGAAATTCGACCCCCTTTTTATCCCCTTGATTACACCCCACTACCTTGCTCAGCCTTGGAGTCAGGAATGAACATTCGGACAGGGACATGCCGGCTGCTGCTGCTGCTGCTGCTGTTGCTGCCAGGGTGCAGCCCAGCCAGTGGGTAACTTGCAAAGTTTCTTGCTTTGCCCCTGGGTCAGGCAGCTGGCCTTGGGATGCTCAGCTTCCCTCTGGCCTCCCCTTAGAACCCGGGAAGGGGTGTCTGTCTCCCTAACCTGCCGCCTTCCTGCATCAGCCTCTGAAAACTCACACACAGGCACATGCACATTGTAACAAAAATCATATCTGGAAACTGCTTTTTTCAGAAAAGGAAATGAAGTTAGGATGAAAGAAAAAGGAAATGGAAGAAGGGAAGAAAAGTTGCATTTGATTTTTCTCCAAAGTTTCTGCTTGAGAGTTGGGAAGTGTGTGGAGGAGTGAGGGAGCTTTCCCAGGCACCTTTAGTCTGCACAGTTGGTAAAGGGAAGGGCTCAAGTTGACTCTTTTCAAGTCTGTCCTATCTAAGGGAGAAACAGATGATCAGAACTGATTTTCCTTGTTTAAAATAAACCTTACTCCTCACCAAGTCCTTAAAGGAAGTGAAGGTGTTCCTGTCTCAGAGGTGCTTAAATGAAAAGAAAAGGGAGTGAAGTCCTGTCCTGCTGCAGGAGGGAGCTCCCAGCTCTGCTGCCTGAGAGATGGAGTTGGGGTGGGCAGCCGAGTGTCAGAGCCCACAGCACACACTGAGACAGGGAAGTTTCCTTCTGAACATGGTCTGTGCAGACTTGTTTGTCTTTGCAAAAGTGGAAATCATTTTTGCAAGCAGCTTTCCTTGTGTAGTTGATGGGTCACAGGGAGACTGTTTCCTAGACTCTGAAGCACTCCAGGTACCAATGCTGAGAGCACTCCAGGGATGTCCATCTCCGTCCTTTGCTCGCTGCACAGATCGTCTGCAAGTTATGTCATGCTGTACACATACAAGACTGGGGGCTGTGCATCTAGATAGATCTGTTTGTTTTATTTCGATTAGGAAAAACTAGATCAATTAGGGTAGAAACACACATTGCTGCACTGCAGGTCCAGTAGCCAGGCTGCTGGTGTCTCTGTCATGGTCCACCAGGGGTTAAGGTAGGCTAAGGGTTTTGAACTTTGAATTGCTTCTCTGTTGCCAAGTAAAAATAAATTCATGCCTTTCAGCATTTATTTTCAAACACGGGTAAAGCCAACACAAAAGTTCCCTACTAAACTGCTATGTCATAGATTTCACATGAGTCTGTCTCTTCTTTCTTGCCTAATTTGCTTAAAGAAAATTCCAAGAGGTTATCAAAGACCCTCATACCACATTAAGAATATTTCCTCAGGAAAATGTTTCCTGATGGTAGGAAAAGAGGACTTGCTAGCTCTCTAGCAGAGCCGCTCACTCCAAGATGTGGGAGATTCCTTGCTCACAACAGTTTTTGTCATCTGCATTCTTCTAAGGCTTTTAAGGTGCATTTTCTTGTGTGAAAGGGGATTCTTTGTCCTTCTCCTCTTCAGCACCGTGGCTTCCCAAGGTAGACACTATTTTGTGCCTGTCACACAGAGGGAGCGCAGGTCTGCAGTGCTCACAGACAATTGATTGTCTGCCCTAATGTGTTTCATTTACATGTTTATAACGTCAATGGTGCTGGGGTGTCCACTGTACCATTCATTCCCGCATTCCCACAAGGGGGCAATTGT